GAATAGGACCTGACACTGTCCCCCTCCCCACGCTTAAAGTATCGCCATTGTCATATCTCGATTTGGAGGGGAAGTGGCTCAAAGTGCCCTGCTCTGAAGGTCGGCGAGTTTCGTCATTCCAACAACTGTTTCAGTAAAGCTCATTTCTGCCGCTTGCATCCGAAACTCACTCATTTGGTCAGTATCCACTTTTCGTAATCCTAAGTGAAGGTTAATGGATACACCTGAAAATGCATTTAAATGTTTCAGTGGCTAACATTCCGACTATGCGACCTTACTCTTATGGTCTTGGAAGATGTTTAGGACTTTTAGACCTGATTTTACTACACGTGTCTCCAGACGGCGAACAGCTTGGTTCTTGTCTACTATAAGAACTTCCATACAGCCGTCATGCATATTCTGAAAGAATGGTTAAAAAGTTAGGCAGCGAGCTGATCAACGATATTTTTTACACCACGACATTCAGTGTTAGACTTCATAAGAAAGGTGGAAGAACTCATATTCCGAAGGCCATCTATCAAGATGATGTAATAATTACAAACCTCTGAAAAACCCCAGTCTGACGGTGGCGTCTGGGGAAATTAATTCAGACGGTCTCCCCCTCCCCAGTGCCATCCAGCTTTTAATTGAAGTATCCTCTTCTGGTCTTTAACGAACCAATATCTGACTCTAGATCATCTATGACATTGGCGTTTTTTCTTCTTCAAAGGGGCGGGTCGTTTCTTCTCGTTGAGAGACTGTCATCTGGCCTTGTAACTTTTTTTCTAAAGAACCAATTTATCGAACTCGAACTTAGCCACACCATGGTTGCCTCACTGCTACCTGCCCACGGCTGCTTATTTGTCGCAGCTAAGCTCCGTTACTGGAGTTAGTTCCCCTATCCTCAATGCGTGGATGCAGCAGATGACCAGCACCTGGGGACACTGGGCGGGCTGTGCTAGATAAAATCTTGCAATCATTGGATTGATGAAATATTTAAATAATCGTGGTGAATTCTTCTGAATTATCAGCATTCCGCACTCCCCGGTAAACACCCTCAGATCCTGCATCACGGATAGCGGGAAGTGACCAGAGTGTGGGAACACATGTCCAGAGGAAGTTCGATTGAATTCATGCTTCCAAACCTGTGCATGATCGTGAAAGTGGGTAATGAACTCTTGATGAGGTAGGCCCTGGAAGTACTAATAACCGGGTTGACAGCTGTTCGTATATTTTCAAACGTTTCTGTCTAGACAAACAGTACTCTGACTGAATGTCTAGGGATCCACCGCCAATACTAACCTAAACGAAAGCACGCTGTAATCACATAATCATTTAGCGAAGCAGAAAATGGCAAATATATTTTATGAATGATCTGTTATGTATTATCGATATTGTTATCATCATGTGACGCTAACAAGGTCTGAATCATGAAGTTGTCCAGGTTGGCAGTTGATGATCCATTTCACACTGTCGAGATGGACTAAAGATCGGAACAGTGTTGAACAGTGATGAATGATATCAAGCGATGAACAGAACTTAATATCTATCGTTCCTCTTGAATGGTCCACATCTGATTAGCTGACGTAATAAGTTTGCTCAAGTCTATTCTTGTTTTCTTACTCCTTCGGCAAGGAAGAGATTTTGTCTTAAAGTACCATGTATATCGTGACGAAACGTATGGCTAAATACGGCGTTAGTTTATTAACAGAGTTTAAAAGAATAACGTCTAACAAAATTGTTATTATTAGAGTTTAAAGCGCATATAAAGTAAAATTATAGATCGAAACGTTCGAACAGGACAGCAACATGAGTACCGTTGAGAAGTTAATGAAAGAAGTCGCGCCGATCAGCGAAAACCCTGTCGCCAAGGTGACGATCGTCGGAGTTGGACAAGTGGGAATGGCTTGCGCCTTCAGTATCTTGACATCGGTTCGTTTATGTTACCATGTTTACTGTTTTAATACACCTGACCTATTTTAGCAAATAGCAAGCGAGATAGCTTTGGTCGATGTTGACCAGCATAAGCTCAGGGGAGAAATGATGGATTTGCAGCAAGGCATGGCTTTCACGCGATCCTGTAAAATTAAAGCAGATACAGGTACGAACCAACGCTATCGATCATCTTCCGCAAATGAAAGGATCACGGTAGCTCGATAAATGGAGACAAGTAGCATAATATTAGGGTGGCGAGTTTGCCAGTATGGTGTAACTTCATGGGCGTAATATTGTAAGTGTTCAAAATTACAAAATTCATTTTCTGCTACACGATATTACTGTACTCTATCCGTGATGGTATTATTTTGTTAGTGCTCATCTATTCTTTCTATTATATTTGGTTTCTTATAGAAAGAGGAATGAAAACTGTCATAGATTCCAAAAGTTCACCAAATTCATCAGTACCATCCTGATTATGATAGCTTGGCGGCTCGGGCTTTTAATCTCGATGCGTAGCGACCCACTGATTTGCAAAAGAATCGGACTGATAGCAATCAGAGGTGCACCTGCTGTCGCCACGTGTCAGCATTCCAGAGCCGCTTACAAATAACGAAGTGGTCAGGAGGAAACGGCCGCAAATATCGAAGCCGATTTGTCCACTTGACATGGCCAAAAAGGAACCGTCTAATCCTGTAGACCTATTGGCCTTGACTATGTCGAATTTATTAAAGGTGTCATATTTGTGTACTACACATATTGACTACGAAGTTTGCATCTACATATAGCTATTGTTGGTCCTTTCGTCACGGAGCCGTAGTCATGAGCTCTAGGAGTGCATGGTTCCTTCTTAGTGTGCGTCAGTTGGCCAACTAGATATTAGGCGTCGATGTTTCCTTTCCAATCGTGAGCATTAAAATGATACAGTTTAAATACTGCAGTCCCATGGCCGTTGCGTTCATATTCAGGCTTTATATACCTGTATTATTTATAACATGTTTACATCATTCATCATGGCAGTTTATCTTCAAATATATTATTTTTTTATTATTAAATATTATTAATAGTTAGTTTATGACAAATATATTTTTTTCACCTTCTACGCTATTCTAGATTACGCCGTCACTGCAAATTCGAAAATTTGTGTAGTCACTGCTGGTGCTCGCCAGAGACCGGACGAAACTCGATTAAGTTTGGTACATCGTAACGTGGAAATATTCAAAAGTACATATGATGTTTGGTAATTGTATTTGCATTGTCTCCTTAAAACTTTCTAGGGGTATGT